GAAGACGCTTCAGAATAAATAACTTAAGTTGCATTCTCTCACCTATTGTAAACAGAGGGGGAATCCAGGCATTTGGGTTCAATTCACTTGATAGACAGTTGGGGGATTTGTCTTTTTATGAAACTTCAAGGATGAAAAAAATACTGTGTTCTATATGATGTGTGAGAATATTAAGAGAAGAAAAAATACCTATTTTATCAACAATTGAGAATTAATAAACAGTCTTAAAAGAAAAATCCAGTTGGTGTATTAAATCCCTGTGAGGAAAAGTGGGTCATTTATACAAACAACTGCTTTGCAAAAACATATATAACATTTGCTTAGCCATGTTTGCAGAGCTGCTGCCATGATAACAATCTTTTTTCTTCATTCTACCTACACACCTCTTTACAATCATTAAAGTGAAACAAATCTATTTTCCTTCCTGCCTTTCCCTTCCCTTGATATTCTTACCAAGGATTAGCAATTTTATTAGTTTTTTTTAAACAATCAACATTTGACTTTTTGGTATTCTCTCTACAGTATATTTGTTCCTTATTTCATTCATGTCCATATTTTCTATGTTGTTTAGTCTATTTAGATTTACTTGCTATTCTTAAACAAACAAACAAACAAACAAACCAAAAAAAACTTCCTGAGATGAGCTAACACTGATTGATTTTCTGCTTCATTTCTTTTCTAATACATGAATTTAAAGATAAAAGTTTTCCTCTAAACACAACTTTCCCTGATACCTCTAGGTTTCAAAATGTAGTACTTTTGTTATCATTTTGTTAAACTTATGTTCTAATTTTAATTTTTATTTTATTGATCCATGGGTTATTTTAAAGCTCATTTCTTAATTTAAAAAGGTTCCAATTCTTGTTCTAGTGTTTAAAAATCATTAACTTCTATTTTAATTGCATTTTAGTCAAAGGACACACTGTGGTATCAGTCGAAATTTGCTGAGAGATACCTTATGGTATAGAAAAGGTCAATTTTTGTAAATATCCAGTGATTGACAAGAATGTATATATTCTGAAGTTTGGAATATAGTGTTTTAGGTATTTTAATTAGACCAAATTTTATTTATATATTTTTAAATATTCATAGAAGAACTGATCTTTATTGTTTCATTAAAAAGCTTCTATTTTATCTTAAACAGTTTGAGTCTGTGTTAGTTGTTTTGTGCTTTGCATACAAATTTAGAATTATTATATCTTCTTTTTTAATTAAATCTTTAATAATTTTGAAGTGACCTATTTTATCTTTAGAGATGCTTTAGGCCTTAAAAATATACTTGTCTCACATTATAATAACTGGCATTCTTTTGGTTAATATTTGCATTTGGGTGGTGTATTTTTGCCATCCTTGTGATTTCTTTCTTTCTATATTCTTGTGTTTTAAATGTCTTTTGTAAAAGTATAAAACTTCTGTTTTTATCTGTTATGATACTTTTTATCTTATTGTTGGCATATTTAGGCTTCAATGAGTTTTAAACGCAAATTTAAACTTAATGTCATTACTGATATATTTTGTTTAAATCTATGTCTTTTATTTATTCCAATATTTTTGTATTAATTTTCCTTCCTTTATTTGCATTTATTAGTTTTTACGCTGTTTTCTAAATTAGCATGAAAACTATATACTCTCTTACTCTTCTTTGAGATACTATAATATTCTCTGTAGTTAAGACATGATTCCTGATTTATTGTCTAATATTCATTGGCTCTTTAACTTTCATCCTCTATAAGAACCAAAGAGCTTTTTAACTCCATTCATCCCCTTTCTGAATTAAATACCATTGTTGTAATATACTGTAATCTTGTCTAAATTGTAAACTCAAGAAGACATTACTATTAAGAAAAATATTCATTTATATTGATCACAATCTTTTTCAAATTCATTTGTGATTTTCTACTTGTGTCTACAAACTTCACCTTGAAATAATTATTTTTTCTGTTGGAAGAATATCCTTTCATGTCTCCCTTAGCACAGATCTGCTGATTTTAAGTTCTCTACTTTCGTTTTGTTAAAATTTCCCTATTTTTATCTTTTTTCTTGAATGGTATAGAATTGTAGATTGGTAAATATTTTCTCATAGAACATTGGATATTTTAGTTCATTATTGTTATTAAAAAGTCAACAGTTAACATCTTTAAAGATAATCTTTTTCTTGATGTTGTTGATTAGGTTTGTACATTGCTTCTTTTCCCCTAAAGTAACAATAAATTTAATCGTCAGTAATTTCTGCTTTCAAATTTTAAGTGGTTGAATTTTTTCTAGTTAAACTCTTGAACTAATCATGTCAGTGAATTGTGAATAAATATCATAAATGTTCAATTATGACTATGTAATATTTTGCTTTAATGATCTTATATGTAATTAATTTATATAAATGCTAAATGCTTATTCAAAAAGAATGCCTATTGCCTGACAGTACAAATATCAGTATGTATCTGTTTAATCATTTCATATTATTCAAATTCTTTTTAGTCTCATTTAATCTTTCTTATTATATGAGACAAAAATTATCAGTCTTCCAATATGATTGTCATCTTATGTAATTCTTAAAGTTTTTGCCTATGTGTTGTCCTAATATGATTCCATCCATAGGGGGTCTGTCTATTCACTCTAGATTTAATGTTTTTCAACATAAAATGACCATTTTTTGATCCAGTATAATTCATTTTGTCTTGAATTCTCTTTATTTTCATTATTATTGTTACCTCAGCCTCCTTGTTTTGATTAGTTCAAATTATTATCACTTTTATCCTTTTATTTTTATCTTCTGTATAACATGTTGCTTTAAGTTGGACCCTTTGTATAGCTGGACTTTTTTTCTGAGTCTTCATTTCTTAATAAGAAATCAACCCATTCGTATTTTTATTCTTGCAAAAGCATATTCTTTCTATATAATGTTTAATCACGGATAGGTTATTGTAAAGTAATATGAGTTCTCAAATGTCACTTGCTGTTTTCAAAACGGGAAAGGTTAAATTACTTAATGTCTAAAGATAAGTATTATCCTACATATAATAATATTTCTATATATTTGGTAATATGTAATTTACAGTGTACTTGTGTAAACATGTTAATAATTGTATAGAAAGCATCAGCAAAAGGTTTGTTACATACTCAGTATTAACTAAATTTTTATTACATTGCATTGAATCCTTAAATCTCAGAAATAAATAGAACAGATCTTATCTGATAGTATAGAAGATAGTATAGTATTTCTGACCTGATTACTACAGGATTATACCTCTTTTAACAAGAAGGATTTAACTTAAATGCAATTCCAAAAATTTCAGGTACATTGTTTTACTTTGAACTCTAAGATTCAGTTATTAACACACAACAACATACTAATGTAATCTCATTACTCAAATTTAAAATACAGGGAAATGACTGTTTCAACAACACTGTATTATACCATAAAGAGGCCTAGATAAAGCTGTGCTGTTTCTTATGAACTAGATAAAATTATGATATATTACTTTCTAGTTTTTACCTCTCTCAGTTAAGTGATTCCACTCTACTCCAAAACATATGGAACAATATAATGAGGTATAAATCTCACCTGCTTAAGCTTAGAGAAGCAGGGTGTCATTTTAAAGGAAAGGGACCTTTCTGAGCTGCCACCTTACCCAGACTTTTTAGGGAAGTGACTGGAATCCTCCAGTCTGATTCCAGGGCGTTGGACAGGAGTTGGCCTGGATTTTTCAGAAAGGATAGTAACAAAGGGGCAAGCTTTACTAAACTATAGAAAGAATTCCATAATACCATGCACTCTAGTTTCCATAGTTCAGACATGCACAAAATTATTCTAAAGTGATGAGTTAGTGAAAACCCTCAGGGATGAATATCAGCTAACTCCAATACTCATATATATCAAACATGTAAACAAGCAGATGCTCTAGTTGAAATATTTAAGAACATCAAAAACCTCTTTCTTTTTAGTTCAGCACTATTTAAAAAAAACAGTTCTCTGTGACAACTGGTCAGATAAATGGGGAGAAAAATCTTAGCTATAAAAAGCATGGTAGAGTTAGAAAACGTCAATGCATTCTAATTGTCACTAATGCCAAATGCATAGTGCATGTAACTCTATTATACTAGTCTTCTCTAAAAGGTCCTTGAGGAAATGCTAATAGATATTCTTATAAAAAAATAATACTTTAATTTTAATATTGTATTAAGAAATATCAGGCATATTTTATATTTTTTATCATTTAAAATTCAATGTCTTACATGTTTATTTTGGCTAACTAAGTTATACAAAAACCATCTCTGTGGCTAAAAGGAAAAAAAATAAATGTTTTGTAGTTCTCAACTATAACCAAAATAAATTTTTAAAAAGTCAGATTCTCTCAAAGTAAAATTAAACAACTGAGCTTTCATTTTTAAAAAGTTAGTAAGGATAGTGATGATCTATACAATATGTAATCATTTAAAACATTGGAAATAGCTTAATTGAAGATTAATAGTTTATTTCTGTGTAGTTTCTTTTTATTATAATGGATATGTATAAAATAGGATTTTCATAGTGAATAGCACTAAAAATAAAATACCAGATATATAATAACTTGAATTCTCCATTTTTATTTGTTATAAAATTAAATGCAACACATTAGTAAGCAAATTTTTATTATTTCTTATAACAATTCAGGTGCAAAATCATTATTAGATGTCTACCATATTTAAAGTGTTTATTATAGCTTGTGATTCTCTGTTGGACTTCTACTAATACATTATAATCTTAAAAGTATTTCTGTGGCCTGGTTAGTTAAGGGAATACACCTAAAATATTGAGAAACATTTATATATAGACGAGAAAGGAAAAAAATTGTATCTGTCTATTTATTATCTATCTATCTATCATCTAGCTACACTTTGGAATCCAAAAGCACTAGATTTAATGCTTAGTTCTTCTTATTAGCTGTATGACCTTGGGAAAATAAATGTATGAACCTACTCAGGGACCTTTATCCTAACAAGGAACACCAAGGTGCTACAGCTTGCTTCAGCAGTGGATATACTGGAACTGGAGCAATACAGAGAGGTTTAGCACGTCCTCTACACAAGGATGACACAAAAATTTGTGAAGCAACCATACTTTTAAAAGAAAAAAAATATTACAACTGGGAGCACTGGCATGGATGTTTAGGGTTGGAAGGAGCATCAAGATAACTCTTCCAATACTTTGATGTTTGAATTTTTTAATAACACCTATGCTTCAAACAGTGCTGCTTGAAGTTCACTGATGGACACTTACAAGTATCTATTAAATTGAAAGAGATGTAAAAAATAGAGAATATTTGCATGTCAAAGAATGAGACAGGTATTCAATATATTATATTTTTCAACTTTCACAAAAAATAATATAAAATATACTTTTATTATTATGCCTGAAGCTCAATAAAGCTAGAAGACTTGACAAAAATCTCAAAAGTTATTTCTGAGACTGAATATACAAATGAAATATGGGCAGACCATATGAAAAATACAACTCTGATCCACAGGCTGCAGCAGCCTGCTCAGGAAATCAACTTCCTATATACAAGAAACAGCCCAGGAAGCCGATCTGCAAAACTGAAACTTCTAGGAAGCCAGATTTCTATCTTTAGTGTTCTAACAATCCAGGAAACTAAACAGTAACTCCTGTAACAATCAGCCCCAAATGATCAGGACTTGATTATTAATTGACAGCTTCCCTAATTTTCTTTACTTCCAATTTAGGTCCAGATAGAGCCAAGTATGACTCCTAACCAATTACAAAGGATGCCTTGCTTCCAGATAACTACCTATAGCATCTTCAGGCAAACAATCTCTCATCACGGCACACCTGAAGGCTTCCCTGTTTCTACTACGTATGAGGTTTTCCCACTCTTTTGCCTGCCTTTGAGTCTCTGCCAAAATGCAAGTGGTGGTGGCTGGCTCCTTTGCTAGCAAGCTATCAGTAAATAGGTTTTGCTTCTCTTACTCGGTTTATGTTATTTATTTTTACACACAAACACAAAACTAATGAAAATGGAATCTAAGAAATTACTCTATTGAGCAATAGGCTATGTGTGCAAGAATATTCACTGTGATACAGTTTATGACAAATTCCCACCAATAAAAGAATAGTGGAATAGGTATGCAATGGAAAACCGTGCAGCAATAAGAAATGAACAAATTTCATCTATACACAGCAATGTAGATTGATCTTCCTTTCGCGGAGAAGGTATCTGTGATCATTAGAAAGGGCCATGCAGGGGGACTGTAGCACACAGCATCTGGTATTTATTAATCTGGCTGAGATTACATGGATCTCTCTTGATTCTCAATCCAGACTCCTTTGCTACAATATATTCCTTTCCCAGGATAAAGGTGACAATTGTTTACTGAACTTGAAGCTTGAATACAACAGTTAGGGGACACTTGCAACTTCTGCGAGATTGGTTCTTGTTTCATGCTGAGACAAAAATTCTCTCCTGGGAACATGAATTCCCTTTAAAATTCCGCTTATACATTTCAGCCTCCAGCCAGGTTTGTGCATCTCCTACAGGGACAGCCAGACTTTCCTGCTCACAGCTGCTGAGAAAGAATGACACTTAGCGTACTAGCTCTGGGATTTTCCTGGATTTTTAATGGAATTCTTGCCCAAGAATGCAGCAGGGAAGGGGTGAAAATCGTTCCTTAGGCTGAGACCAGGTTTCCCCTTCCTACCTAATCTCTTTCTTTACCCTTTAGGATTCAGAAAAAGTACCTCTGAAGTTATATCAGAGAGGTCTAGGCCTCTATTATATAATAAACACCTATAAGGGAAAGAGAAGTGACCTCTGGGTAGGGTACTGGTGAGAGTTTCATGGAGAGCTCATGAGAGGCCTTGAAGCCATAGCAAGTTCTTTTATTTATTTAAACACTTTAACATGTCCACTGGCCTCTTCTAACCTTTCACTGTCACTTTTTTTACTTTTTATGTTGCAATAATTTTAGACTTACAGGAAAGTTGCAAAAATATTATAGAGATTTATTACAAAGCTTCATTCAGAGTTTCTTATGTTAACATGTTAGGAATATATGCATATATACTGACCAAGCATATACACCTTATATTTACATTTCTGTACCTACTGTGTGTGTGTATTTGTGTGTGTGTGTGTGAGTGAAAACCAGGAATTCATACTGATATCTCTAACTCTAATCCAACACTACAGGGTTAAAACTTCTTGGGGGTGGAAGGAAGTGAGAATGGTAAGATTTTTATGGTAGAAAAACATTTTACATTAAAGTAAACAAAAACATAAGAGGTTCAAAAGCCTTAGCTCTACTGAAGGAAATGGTCAGGTTTTGCATTGTTTAGCTGGCAAGAGGAGAGTTATATTGTGAAAAATGCTGCCAGTAGAAAGAGCAGGGAAGACCTAAGATTGATAAATGTACCACTATATAAGGCAGAATGACAAAATTAAACCCATAGAGCATATCTGTTTGATATATGATTAAACATAGGACTGAAACTTAAAAGCTAGATTCCAGTAATGATTCTTGCCTTATTGAGAATTTAGTCTCAACCATGAATTTTTTTTCCTCCTCCCCCATGGTTCTCACCTCCCAACTGCATGTTTGTTGAACGCTCAGAAATGTACAATCCTGCTTCCTAAAAGTTGGAATGGAATCAGCTAGATTTGATCCATTTCCTCTCTCATGATCTTGGCAGCATCTGGGATGTTCTCTGCCAAAATTCCAGTCAGCTATATAAAACCTGGTGCTTGGAAATGAGCAGACATGTGAATTAAGTGTGTGGGCGCTATTGTTTGGTGAAAATTTATAGGTTTCCCTTTTGAGTTTCAGATTTATAAACAGCATGAATAATAATAACCTGTTTGCCATAAAGTTGCAATTTTATTCCAGAATGTACATCTAACACTGCAAAATATTAGTATGCTTTTGCATTGTAGAAGTCTCTTTTATGACTTATACAATTATTACACTCAGGAATGTTCACTGATTCTGCAGATTAACTTGAGTGTACCAGTTTCCTGATGTGTGGGTCAGTTTGCCCTTTTCTGTTGACTCAGGACTAATACTTCACAATGTGCCAAGCCTCTATGCTGCTGGGCATAAAGCTGAACACAAAGTTGAATAAGGCACAGCATGTATGTGTCTCTTTCCTATACCATTCCATATCAGACAACTTCTGGCTTCAGCTCTAATAATAAAAAGAGCTTAGAAGTCATCACTCTTGTCCCTAAAATGAGAAAAAGGTGGACAACTTGAAAAGCAATCATTTTTCTTAGATCCATTAGAGAAGTGAGATTGCAGGGTAAACCACCACCTTAGAGAGACAGATGGAAAAAAGATGACCAGAACCTTATTCCCCTTGGGGGAAGGGCATTCCTCCTACTTCTGTCCTTCTAGCCTTTCTGTATTACCTGATGGGGGAAGGGTGGGGGTGAGAGAGCTATATCCCTGGAGAAACCCTTGCGAGGGTCATAGCCAGAGACAAAAGCCACTAAAGGACTGAGATTTAATAATAAGATTATCCAATGTTTCCACTTCCCCACACTTGACCACCATACTAATAGACTCCAGCATAGTGGATTACAGCTGACAGAGACACAAGACACAGGCTTTCTCCGAGGAAGCATACTTAGGGAAACCCAAAATCAGGACAGGAGATAAAAACAAGGACAGAACAGGAATCTGAAGCCTCTGGCACTTACAACTACAGCAAATATTAAAAACAGCCCTACTCCCAGGCAGATTAACATAAATCCTTATACTAAAGTCTTATTTACTTCGTTTCCTATCATGTGATATCTCATATCCAGCTTTAAACAAAAAATTGTAAGACATGCCAAAAGGCAAGAAAATGCGCAGGCTAAAGAGGCAAAGTAAAATCAGAACCAGACTCAGCTATCACACAGATGTGGGAAGTAGCAAAGAATATAAAATAACTGTGACTGATATATTAAGGTTTTAATGGATGTAGACCACATGAAAGAAAAGAGATAGTTAACATAACTAGAGCTTTGTTAGAAATTCTAACAAAGAATCAAAAGTGAATACTAAAAGTCAAAAATGCAAAAAAAAAAAAAAATGAAAACTGCGTTTGGTAGACATATCAGTAAACTGGACAGGGCTCAGGAAAGATTCAGCAGTCTTGAAGATATATCATTAGAAACTTTCCAAACTGAAAAACAATGAGAAAAAAAGAATAAAATAACAACAACCCCAGAATATTCAAGAACTATGGAACAACTTCAAAGGGTGTACCATAACACATAATTGCAATACCAGAAGGAGAAAGAAGAGAGAATGGAGGAGAGGGATTCAAACTGCAACCTGGCAGGAATGGTTCATGCCTGAGGAAGCATGTCAGGATGCACTTTGGGCTGGAGGAAGCCACAGAGGCTTAGGGCAGCAGAAACAGAACTCAACAGGTCAGAAATGGGATCAAGAAACTTGATCGGATTTCTTCATTTTTCAAGCCATTCCAAAATCTAATTTTCCCAGTAGCTGGGTACCTGTGCGGACCTCTTCCAGTAAGAGTCAGAGGTTCTCATCCTGATATTTAAAGGTAATCCCAGGCAGGTATGGGGCATAGTTTTTCAGCTCTTTTTGTGCCGCCATCCTGTTATTTACATCTCCTCTCTTCTCCTTGGTTTTCCCACGATGAAACCAACCTTCTCCAGAAACAGAATCACAGCAGGGATGAAGAATACAAGAAGCTAGAGCAAAACATATCTTGTTTGATCCTTTCTCAAGCACATCTGACATCCTATCCTTGGTTTACAACACTATCCTGAGGCATACAACCCAGAAGAAAGCATGAGTTTTTTCAACATTATGATATCTTACATAAAAATTTTCTGTATCCAAATCCCCACCCCAGCTTTCAAGTCCCACTAGGCTAAATGCTTTTAACTTTAACTAGGAAGTTAACATAATTCAAAGGCTTTTTAGTAGCATTTATGAGTGTGCTTTTAGGGAGACAAGACTGGTGGCAGATCAGGAAATACAGACGTAATTCATATGAGGATGAGGAGGGTCTGAACTGAGACTGCAGTGAAGTGAAGACTAATCACTTCAGAGAGAGGACATGGGACCCAAATGAATGTTGGGAAGAGGAAGAA